TTTCTGGCTATGCGTAACATCTATTCTCCGCGGATCAATTTGACCAGTTCATCTGCTACTGCCACGGCAAAGTCAGGATTATTGATGTCACGCGAATCTCGCACGACTAATACCCCACTATCCTCCAATTCCTTCTCCAAAGTCAAAAACAATGCCTCATCTGCCTCTGTATCCTGGAATGTCTGACCAGGAACGTCTAACATGCTCACGCCACCAACAGGCAGAACCACCTTCGTCCGCGTCAGTTCTCCTTTGCCCCTCGAATCCCGCAACAAGTTCCCTGCTATAAAAACCCCAATATCCGCACACTCTTTCTTGGTTGTGCGCATAAGCGTAACAGTCGCATTATGCTCATGAAACAACCTCCCCGCCTCCCGAAACGCAGGTGGGACACTCCCCACCTCCCCGAAATTAACCATATCACACGCTCCAACACTAACAACCCTCGGAATATCCCGCACTGTAGCCGCAGTCAACCGTCCAGCCCCAGCACTAAGAACCCCACCAACAACCTCATCCGCAATCTCCGTAGTTGTCAAATCAAGCACAGCATCAATCTGCTCCTCCCTCACAAGCCTCTCCAGAGCCCTCCCCCGGACCCCGTAGCATGAAAAACATAAACCTCACAACCAGGAAGGACCTCTTCAAGACGTTCCCGGGCGCGTGTGACACCAGGCGTCGTAACTCCGAACATGGATATACCAATCTTCACACGGGAAGATTCATCGACCTTCTTCTCCTTCTCACCCGGCTCTCGTTTCAAAAACGAACTCGCCATCCCGGCAATCCCACCAGCAGCGTTATCAAGAACACCCTCCAAAACACGGTTCCGGCCCGCAATATCGACAACGCTGTACATCATGCTGATATCTGTTTCGCCGATGTATGGTCCCACGTCCCCGGATGCCATGGTTGATACTAGTAGTTTGGGGAATCCGACTGGTAGCGCGTCGCGCATGACTGCTGCCGCCAGTGCTGTGCCGCATGAGCCGCCGATGGCAAGAATACCGTGGATTTGGTGAGATTTGTGGAGGTGAGTTACATGTTTTGTGGCGTAGGGTGTGAGTGTGGTTATATACTCGGCCCGTGGGAGGGTTGCTAGATCTGGGATTGGGGTTGAGGAGGGTGAAGCGTTGGTTAAGGCGCTTTGGGGGATAGCTATTTCTTCATGAGTTGTTTGGTTTCGGCCGATGTCCATCAAAAGGACTGTGGCGTTGTTGGATTCGATTTGGGCTTTTGTGTAGAGGAGCTCCGGGAGTTTGGTGTCACATGTTCCTAGTAAGAGAATTGTGGGGGTGTTTGAAGGCATTTTTTGGTTTGGATTTTTTGGGCTTTGCAATTGGAGAAATGGAACTAGGTATTTGTTGAAGTTACTTGGTGAACTTGGAAAGTGTATGAAACTGGAGGTGACGTTGAAGCTGAAGTGGAAGTGGGGTGCTGGAAATATTGCGGGGTTGGTCTACTTGGGATGTGATACCCCTACAATGTATGTACAGATGCAACTATACCGGATTTGATGTCAGTTCGCTGGGATTGTCGGCGATCCCTAGACTGATGGGACTGGTTAGGGAAAGGGAGTACCGCTGTTAGTTTTCTTTTACTTGCTTAGGATCGAGACTGCTAGGATCAACGGTCATGTTGACCAGTCCTTTTTTGATACGCAGTTTGAATTGGAAGGCTTGCATGTGGATAGACCTTATAAGTCAGGATATATATTAAGGGACATGCTCTGCTTTACTCAGTTTGACTCGGTGATCAAAAAGCGGCAAGGGGTGAGCAATAACAGAAAGGGAAAGGTCTTGCCAAGCATTATCCAGTACATATTGTTGAGGCAAGTGGACGAAATTGAGGTGTAAAGAATAACATCGGAAACATAGAATAGTAGCTGACTGTCGATAGTATGTTTTGGAAATATATGTATGCTCATTCCGCTCATTCGTACAAATATTTCCCATTTCGTCAATGTCTGTCTATATCACACACTCATGCGTATAAACTAAAGTTTAGCAGATCGACCGGCCTTGAATTGCCGAATTCTGTATTGCGTCAGTGACATACTCGATAGATTCAATTGCCGAAACATACTTATCCTCATCCGCCAGCTCAAACAACACATCTTGTGCTCCTTCCCACAGAGTCAAATTCCCAAGCGCATGCAGGTTCTCAGACCCTTCAGTGATAGTCAAGAAGTGATTGGCGGCAAGCGCTCCCATCTTGCTTGCGAAAGCAACTCCTCCATAGCAGAAGAGGAATTCGGTCTCCGAGATACCCCCGGGGTACAGCAGAATCTGACCAGGCGCGGGATGCGCCGTGTGGTTTTCGAAGGGGATGTTGAAATTAGTCTCACCCAACGGAATCCACATCCCCTCACCGCTCCATCGTACGTGAATGAGCTTTTGGCGGTATGGGAGGAGAGATCGAAATAGTTTGACTGTCTTGGGAGCTGCTGACTCGAGTTTCGCAAGGAATTGGTACGGACCAGCCGTGATCAGAATGGTAGAGTTTGTCATTTTCGAGTTTAATGGGATTTCGATGAGACGTTAGGTCTCTGTTGTTATTCTTCAGGCTTTTAAAGGTGGAGGTTCTTGATGTTTCCCGCGGTCCATAATTTAGCTCGCTCCTTGGCGGTTGGTCTGTCCAATGGGCTCGTGGCTTTCCCGATATCATCCACTCGGATATCGCCTTCTTCCACGTTCTGATGTGCTCTTTATATACATGTGGGGCTATATTGCACTATTGCACTATTGTACGGAGTTCGGCATTTAAGGTGGGGAAACTCGGACTTCATGGATTCTACCAGAATGAAGGCGGCAAACATAGGGGCCAAAGTGCATTGTACAAGTGACTATTACGCTGACCAGGTGGAACGGCTAAATGCAAATTAAATATCAGGAGGAGCAATGGAAGAATATAGCAACAATATCTCGGGCACGCCGCATAGTCTAGTCATTAGATGGTAGCCGCACGCTCAACTCATGTAAAAAGCCAGGTCTGTTTATATATAACGATTATTCGGCGGTATCTATAGGCATTATCAAAAGGACTGACTATATTGTAACACTTCTATAAATAATGTTTTGCATCTTTCAAAGATCCTTGGATTTGATGAGAGAGAGAAAGAAAATCAGAACAGTTGGAACGCTTATTTGAATTGGAAGACTAGCTCTAGTTATGGTCTATTAAACAAATACATCACACAGAAAAGCCTAGTTTATCAAGTAGGAATATCAAATCAGCTTGACCGCTGTTTCAAACTCATCGAGGAAAGCCCATAGTGTTTTCTCCCGCCACTTCTTCTCCTTCCACCCATTAGCCGACAAAGGAAAGAGATCCACAGATTTCAATAGGCTGCGATCATGAGCATATATAAACCAAACATTGCTGTCTGCATCAGCCACCTGTGCTTTCTCAATTGTATCTATTGTCTGTTCAATGTCTTCCCCTATGGCTGGTCGGAAGAATGGCTTGTCCACTGAACCAGTCCGTCGGACTAGCAATTTCTCGTATACTGAGTCCCCAGGACATGGGAAAGAAATAGGAGTAGCGAAGCTGGGTTGGATATCGCCAGGAATCCGCAGATATTTCGACGGTCGAATTTCCCCACTATGGTGACAGAGGTCACCTCCCATGAAAATGAAGGTGTCGGGATTAGTCGTGGTTCGTGCCAATGCACCAAGGTGACCGACTGTGTGACCAGGACTATCTATGATATAGAATGAACCATCACCGAAATAATCGACAGCTCGGAACTCGCCAACTTGGACAGAGTTTGAGAAGTCTATTTCGTGTATATTTCGTCCGCTTTCATAGAATGAGAGTTAACGGATGAACAAATTTCCATTTCACAATCAAACACTTACGCAAAGTCACTTTCGCGTACAAAGGCATCTGGCTTCGCCGGATAACCAGGAAGAAACTCGGCCTTGAAACCAGGGCCGACAATGAGCTCAGTGGAAGAAGGAAATCGGGATGGGTCACCGATATGATCCCAGTGCCAGTGACTTCCCGCGAACAGAAAAAGTCAGTATCTTACATTGTACGGTTGCTTATCATTATTAATAGATAGGTGTTGTACTGACCTCCAGATGATGGCAGATATTTCATTCGCCGCGATCCCATTTCTGTCGAGAATGTCGATCACCTCTTCCTGGACGTCGACTTTCCATCCCTGTCGTTTGATATGTTCACAGATTGCCGGTGAAAACGAGTCCAAATCTTTCGGAACTCCAAGATCGTAAAGGATCTTTTGACCCGAAGGGTGCTCGATCAGGAATGACCAAGCCGGAAGGGGGAGCATATATTCCATTCCCTCCATTGGAGGTTCCATGAGAAACGCCAATTTAAAGTTATTAATCCTAGTAGTCGAATCGATGATTCGAACCTGGACGCTCTGGTCGCCCGGTGGCACAGTAAAGTTAGCGTTGGAGAGGTGCGACATGATGAGATGACACCGAGAATTGTAATAACTTTGCGCAGCCTCGAAAGATGCGGGATACAAGAGATACAAACTCCAGAATTTTATGTTTCTATGGGGGCCAACTGCCGAGCGAAACACTGTGAAATTCGCGAGGGGGTAGTTGGGGGGTGTCATCATCTCTGGCGTGATTGCGGGAGTGGGGTAATCACCTTGGATCCTTCGGGATACGATTAGCAAGCATGAAGAGGCTCATTACTGCTAACGCCATGCGAAATGCGGTCACCTGGGCCGCAGCGAGCATTCTCAAAATATGACTGCCAGCTTGGATCAAAAACATGGCACCGGTCAGGGGGCCGTTCCTCGGGAGTGTTATGGCCTTCACTACTGTGTTCACAGTGTCTGTCCCATTTTACACCCTGGGATGATGCTCATGTGCTATCAATAGGTCGAAAAGTTTATTTCAATATAGAATTGGATACTACATGAGAAAAAGATAGTAACGAACAACGCGTATCTTAACCTAGGGAGATCGAAGACCTACCCATTTACCACCCTGCCTATAAGACCGATCCAAAACATGCACTTAAACTCGCTTGAGAACAGAGCCAGTAACAGGATACTCCACACTGACCAGTCGACCATCAACCAGGTTGAAAATAAACTCATCAGCGGGCCCAGCAAAGTCAAGGTTCATCCATACGAAGGAATTATCGAACAAACCCCCCTTCCCACCTTCCACCGCAGCACGAGGCTTGATCGGGGGCTGCGGCTCTACCATACGGTGCGCCACGCGTAGAGTACCCTTAGTCCTGTACAAATAAGACAAAGACCTCGAGAACGAGTTGAGCCCAGTCGGGTAGAGGCGCCAATGGGCATGATCGCGGGCGTTGTTTCCCTTAATCCAGAACGACTTCAAGCCGAGCCCGGGGTGGCCTCGGTCAACAGATAACGTGATATTGGTATCCGGTGATGCCTCGTCGACAAACGTGCCAGCTAAGTTTCGTCTGGCATTTTCTGCTGCTGCGTATTCTGCCGCAGGAATGAATGTCCCACCAACCACGTTGCGCAAGGGCCACCGGGCGGGCGTGGCAGTGAAACCGGCCACCAAGATGGAATATCCAATACCGTGATCTGGTGACAGAGCAAATATGGATGTATAATCGACGTTTCCACCGGCCTTGGTATAGAGGTCTGAGATCCGAGTACGGTTTGAGCCTGGGGTAACGGGGATCTCAAGGCGAGAGATTTCCCATGGGGCTCCGACAAGCTCGACCAAACTGCCAGTTCCACTGCTAGGTTTCATCCATTGGGATGTTGTATCCGGAGAGAGTAGCTCGGAGTTCAAGATAGCAAGACCTGCTGTGCGGAGGTCTGCGGCGTTGGAATAATAACTGCCAGTTCTGTAGGACAGGTTAGTCTGTTTCTCTTAGTCGAATTTGGAAACAGGACAAAAAGAGTAAAGAGGGAAAAGGAAATAGAAAAAGGACAACATACGATGCAACGATTTCCACATCGCCGGCCCATGATGTGTTCTTGTCAATGCTGCGGCGATCGATAACATTAAGATCCGAACCCGTTGGCACTGTCGTCGACATGCTCTCCAGGTCCAATGGATCAAATAGAACCTCATGGACAGCTTCCCTGTAACTCATTCCCGAGAGACGTGCAAGTACCTGTCCCAGGATCGCAAAGCCGCCATCAGAATAGACAGCATTTCGGAATGGAGATACCACGGGCTTTCTCTCGTCGCGGAAGAACTTCAGAAGATCTGCGTATGAGATCTATTAGCGACTTCCTTACGAATAACATCGATTCTTTGAATTACCTTCAGGTGAATACTGCAATGGCTTATCGAGATCCGCGTATTCTGTGAGGAAGTCTAGCAGAGAGGTTAGGAGCAGTAAACCAGGATTCCATAAGGACACAAACCAGCCACACCCCCAGACCCAGCCTGCTGATTTGCCAACGCTCCAACAGTGATATCCTCCCAGCGGATGCTATCCAATGGTTCACTATCCGAATTACCCGCTAGTTCGGGGAGATACTTCGTCACAGGGTGGGCGAATACTTCTATGCCAGCCTTAGCGATGATTGCGTAGACTGTGAAGAGTTTTGTCACACTTCCGATGCGTGAGATGGTCTTGTCATTGAGTTCTCCAGATGTCAAAGATGGTTTTGAGTTTTCTCCGACATGGGAATAGCTATAGATGGATTTATTGGTAGCGGCCGAAAACACGTCAATATGAAAGGCCAAATCGGTACGATTGAGTTCGCCAGTTGAGAAGAGGCTATCAATTAAGCCAGGGAACTGTGATTTGGCGTGGTTGATCGCGCTTGAATTTGAAGGATCAAAGTTGGAGAGGAAGGATGGACCGATTAAGGGGACCTCATCTGTGGCGATGATGCGCGCTGTTGAGCTAGCGGCAAGTCCTAGTAGGGATGTGACCAATGCTTTGTCGAGAAGCATCGTGAAAATTTAAAATACTGGCAAACACGAGAAGGCTTGCTTATCAGAAGATTGAATGTATTCTGTCTGAAATTCAACAGCTCCTCCTATTGATCTTATATATTGATATCTATTAGTGGTTGTAGCGCACGTTGACCATCAACTTTGGACATGGCCAAGAGGCACGTAGGCCAAGCCAACACGTTGTCCACATATAGTTGGTTACGGCGCCATCCCGCCATCCTTTCCGTGGAAAAATCGATGGCGTACTATAAAAAAAAGGGTGAGCAAATTTAGCTCCAGATCAGCGACAGGTAGTAAGGATATGGCGATTTGGTGCGCTCTTGGCGCTCGTGATGGTGAACTTTAGGCCCTGAGGCAAATATCTGACATCACCTACCTACCTCTATACCTGTCAATTTGTTATTGATTTTATTGTTTGCCAATAAACCTAGAGACATCTTTTCTACGTCATGTAGGGGCGCATTAGGTACTCGGAGCTGCGCCAGGTTACGGCCCCCGATGCATAGCCCTGTGTCAAGATACTCCGGACTCCGGGTTGTATCCGAGCAATAGTTGAGGCGATCAGCACTCACCTGTTAGGATCCATGTGTCGTAAGGGACACCGGTGAGTTGTTCTCTCGGTGCTGGGGATTTCACTTGGATAATGAAGCAACGTGAGCCAACAAAGTATGAAGAAACAAGTTTATATGTAGTAGCGAACAATGAGATTCAGTCTCTAAGCACACTACATTGAACTGTTTTTCATCATAAGGTCGGATTTATATTGACATATATATTGCTATTTATTCTACAGTATATAGCTGTTGTTGAGAAACGTCTTAAAGTAATTGATGCATTGTGAGCTGTCGGCAGAGCAGCCGGACGCCATGCCTTTAGATTTTATAATCTTGCTTTTCAGATATCGCTCTCCTTCTCCATATCCGGTCATACACCCATGACTTTTTCTCCAGAAACAGGCTGTGTTGGATCTCTTGGGGAAAGCCAGGTAACTATTTACTCGGCGCGACATACTTCCTATTACGGTATTTGATCATCACCCCACCCACTGGGCACTGGATACGACAATGATATTCGGATCTATGAATGACAAGAGTGGTCAGCCGCTTATGTGGCCTTCTCATGTCCAATTGTTCCTTTAGGTGTCTTTTTAGGTATATAGGAAAGCAGTAGAAAAACATACTTAGTGAAATATATTCAAGATGTGGGTCTCCTGCAATAAGGACACCAAGCTCGTGATCTGAGCCCGGCTTAATTGTGCTACATTGGACATCGAACAGTATCGGGAAACCGAACCCATTACTCTCGTTAGCCTTTTCTATGAATAAAATTAGGGACCATATGATATTGCACAATATCCATGTTCAAAAAATGGAAACCACACTGCTGCGACAGATATATATAGCCAAGGTTTCACCACACTGGCGATGATAAGTACGACTCTATAGTGTTCGACATATTAGTAAATAAACTAGGCTGCGCACTCTTTACCATGAATTCAAGGCTGTTATCAGCTGGTTATTCAAAGCAAAAGAGTGCATTCGATTTTAATCATATCCACAGGGAGGTCAAGGAGAAAGGAAGAAAGGAAGAAAGGGAAGAACCACGTGGGTCCCCTCTCCAAAGCAAACAATGCAAACCAGACGAACATGAACACCCTGCTCTTCTATGTTGTGCATCGTGACATGTACCATCGTTGCGCTGTATACCGTTTTGAAGGTGATTGATGCACAAAACTCAAACATAGGAGACTACATCCACCAATTTCTGGCCCAGTTTCACCAGAGCGTCGAATTGAGAATAGCTGTTGGAGTTATAACCGGCTGAAGACCATTCGGGCCGAATGTGGAATTTACCCGCATGCCCGCATTTCCTCCGTCACTCTCCAACGGGCAATTTTCCTCCGTGGGGACGGGGAGCAAGTCTCGGCTAAATAAAAGAAGAGAGGTTTAAGAGGAGGAAATGTCCTTCCTCAATCAATTTAATCTTCTTTATTCCTCCGTCTCTTTCATTAACATCTAAAATGGCTCGAGTACTTGAAGGGAAATTCGGCATCGTCACTGGCGGATCGCGGGGTAAAGCCCAGCCTCCCCCGCATATCAACAGATCAAGCTAACACGCCATCTACACAGGAATTGGCGAAGCAATTGCCCGCAATCTGGCCGAAAAGGGGTGCTCATTACTACTGAACTTTACTTCAGAGTCCTCGCGCGCTCCCACCGAAGCATTGTGCTCCTCCTTAGCCACAACCCATAACATCAAATGCGAGAGCGTGCAAGCCGATCTAAGCAAGCCTACTGAAGCTGTGACAGCCATTATCGACGCCGCCAAAGAACATTTCAGCACCGAGGGCAAACTCCAAATCGATATTTTGATCAATAATGCTGGCGTATCGCAAGACCGGAACTTGAACGATGCCACCAAGGGCCCCATCGAGGCCGAGCACTTCAACTGGCAATATGCGATCAACGTCCTCGCCCCGCTCCTCCTCACACAGGCATGCGCCCCCTTCCTTCCCACCGACCGAAGCGGCCGTATCGTGAGCATCTCCAGTGTATCCTCATCCCTCGGTTTCGTGGGCCAGTCAATTTATGGTGGTACCAAGGCTGCCATTGAGGCGATGACTCGCACCTGGGCACGTGAGCTGGCAGACCGTGCGACTGTTAATGCCGTTAACCCCGGCCCGGTTGTTGGTGATATGTACTTTGCGACCGGAGAGCAGTTCTGGAAGGATATCCAGGGGTACCAGGATAACACGCCGATGAGCAAGTTGGATGTGAATAACCAGGACACTATGAGTCGCTTGACTGATGAGCAGAAGCGGTTGATTCAGGAGAAGATGGGTGGTCGTCGACCTGCTTTCACTAGTGAGGTCGCGGGTGTTGTTGGCATGTTGTGTACACCCGATGGTCTTTGGTGTACCGGCAGTGTGGTCTGTGCCAACGGTGGCATGAAGATGGGACAATAAGAGAATATAATCAATTTCATATCATCTTCCTTTGTTACCTGAATTTATGAGCGGTTTTACTAGCTGACATATCTATGTTGTAGTTGTAGAGTGACAAGTCTTTGCTCCTATCTCATCTCTCTATCTTTACTTCATATAGGGTCGTAGTCAGAACGCCACACACCTCAATAGGTCGTTAACCCCTGTCAGCGCTAAGCTTCCTTGGAATTCAGCCTCCGAACTGTGACTCATTTAATAGCCTTGAGGTGGTATCTGATGTCTGAGACAAGTAGACATAAAAGAGAGGGAAAATATACCAAAAACTCGAAATTGATTGTCCACACACACACACACTCTCTCTCTCTCTCTCTCTCTCTCTCTCTCTCTCTAGAATCAAGCCTCATATCACCAGACCAAACCAAAATGACAGGATTCTCCTTCCCACCGGACTTCACAATTCCCACCCCACGTCTCCAAATCAGCCCTTTCAACCCCACCGACCAGACCCACTGCGACTTCTTAGTCCAACTCTGGAATACAGACGATTTCATCAACTCCTGCGGGAAAACCGGAGTCACCACACCAGAAAAAGCATCCGCATTCCTTGAGAATAGAGTCTTGAAAAGCTACGCCTACCATGGTTACGGGATATTCCTAGTCTCGCGACGGACCGACGATGGTCTGCAGCCGATCGGCACTGTATCGCTCATGAGGGGAATTCCGCCAGGCCCACAGTATCTTGCTCCAGATATCGGGTTTTCCATTCTACCTGAGGAAGGTCGGAAGGGATATGCGACCGAGGCCGCGAAGGCTCTTATGGAATATGCAAATAAGACTCTTGGGGTGGATGCTGTGTTTGGATTCTGTTCGCCTGCGAATCAGCGCAGTCGGGGTGCTCTGGAGAAACTTGGGATGGAGTTTCGGGGTATTAAGCCTTTGAAGGTTTTTGGTGATGAGGAAAGTGCCGTGTATGCTTTGCCGGGGATGAGTGAGGATTTGAGTGTTTATAATATCGACTGAATCGAGGGAATTACCGTTCCATGGCAGTATCACGAAGCTTCAACATCGTCCAACTGTTGTTGGCGCTGTTCAGGAGTGAGGCGAAGCCTAATACAAAATTCGTTTCGAATTCTTTGTAGTATAATGACTGAAGAGGGTGTGCCCTCTGCAGCGAGGATTACAAGGATCTTTTGTGTGCTATACCGAGGTACAAGCTCTTCAACTCGATCTCGGATCTCTTCCCTAGTCGTGAGAGTACGGGGTTTAGGAGGTTTCCAGTGACCAAGGCATCTCTGCAGGGTGCTGCGGCTAATGGTAATATCGTATTTTTCTTTGAGAATAGCGCGAATAGCTGTATGTGAAGTCTTTTGGGTGATAAGATCGAGTATCTTTTCTTTGTGCGACTCGAGATCAATACGAGGGCGCGGCATGACAGTAGTATAGAGTAGGTATAGAGAGAGTAGGTGGAAGGATTTGGGTACAAAAGTCATATCGGGTGATGACAAGTGGCAAGTTTTAATACAGACTGACCAAGATCCAGCCCCCTAGAATGAGGTTTGGCCCTTGATAGCTATACAGCTTCGTAACCCGGTTGAACCTTTACGTCCAATATCACTTGGTATGACTTACGGCATTTGGCTATAGACCCGGTCTCCTTCCAATGGTGCTTGCAGGAAGTCTGAAGGGGGATCTTGAGGAAGCTGGTTCTCTTCCGCCCAGCGACGGACAGCGTCAAAGTTTTTACATCGATGCTGAGTGTTGAAGTCAACATAGGGCTCTGGATTCTCGGGGTAAATCCAGACTTGACCCAAAACCCCACTGTCCACGGTGCACATGAGCTCTTGGCGCAGAATATCGAGGCAATGTGCTGCGACGAGAAAAATCATCAGTCAAAGACGTATGAGGAGAGTAAAATGAAGAAAACATACACACGTGGCGGCGGATAATATAGTCATTGTTCGTGAAGGGCCCATCCCCCTGGTGTGGTAATAGTCATAGTTGTAGTAAAGAGATTGACGAAGGAGGTTCTTGTCGGCGTTAGTATACTTCATTCATAGTATGGATATGAAATATAGGACACCAACCAGGCAATGAAGGTGGTGCAAGCCTTCAACATTTGCAGGAAACCCTCCCCCATACTTCGCGTTGATCTTCACTTGGTCGGCAGCAAGGCCAGATTGTTCCGCGTCCTCTGGCGGTATTCGAACACTGCGGTCTAGTTAGAAGAGTTGTAATTAGCCAATGTCAGAGTAGTCGATTATCTTGAAGACAGACAGTTGACACCCAAGGACTCCCACGCCGCATCAACATCTGGGCCAGCATCTTGTCGGAAAACATTCTCTTTCAGGAGAGAGCCATTGAATTCCTGTAGACTATACTGGATCCCAACTTCCTTCATGACAGTCGCTATATTCATATGAGATTAATGGGGTCCATCCCAGAAGCTTGGAGATCTCACAATATTGCGAAACATGTCGACTACAAAGGCCATCCAGGTCACCACGCCAGTGGAAACCGAACAGAGTCCCGACTAGGAATACCAACGCAAGTGCACTCAACTGGAAGAGACATGCTAGGAATCTGGTGCAAGTGAGCGCCGATGTTCCATTCCCACTCCAGGGAGTGCCTTCTTCCTCGGCAAGAAGTCGCTCACCAGATTCTCGTCTAGAATCCTCTCCGTAAGAATCTTTGCTTAGCATACAGTCCATTTTAAAAATTGAAACAAGTCGACTGAATGATTTGCAAGGATAATCTGCGCAAAATAGTTTTCCAATCCATCAAGGGGGAAATAGAGCTGCCTTGGTGTCTGTGATGAGCAGACATGGCCTTCAGACCGCAACTTCAGGGATTGGACTTTGCCCAGCTTCAACACTGACATCAGATTAAATCTTCATAGTAATTGCAAATTAAAGCAACGCATACCCTGCATGTCTCACACGTTTCGCCATCCCATGAGTCTCCCACCGCGTGGTGCATGGTCAACGTGAGAACCCCTCAAGGGGTTGTCAACTACATGGGAGACAGCTTGATATTCACGAATGCATTGAGATGGCGTAAGCGTGGCTTGTATGTCTATCCAGAACGGATCAGCACTATTTGACCGCGGGTGATCGTCGAGGAATGTGAGTGAATACTCACTCCCCTTGCGCACGGGATCTGCGGAATTCTTGCAGATTTACGCGAGGTTCATCACGCAACTCAAAGATCTACGGGAGAAAGTTTGATTTTTATTGTTGTACTCTACGTTGGGTGTGTTACCCCATCTTTTGTGGTTGACTGAGATCATCGTACATCCGATCGCTTATCCCCCGCAAGACAGTATGATTATCAACTACACGTTTCGGCGGTCTCCCTTGCAGCGCCAATTCTCATCAACCCTCACCGAGGAATGGCGTGAGCCGACCTCAGACATTCTTACGAAAGGCTTCCAACTCTATTGATTAGTATCTTAAGCAGCCATGATGTGTCAATTGGGGCTGGGGTTTCTCAGATATAAATACAGGCCGACGAACCTGGTTTCAATCATCATTCTCAACTGAAAACCATCCCATCAACCACAGGATTGAAACAGCACTCCCAAAACCAACAATCGTTCATACTTTGTTTGAGATTCTTCGAGTTCACCTCCCTCCAAGATGCGCTACTCCATCGTCAACAGCCTTCTGTTTTTGGCTCTCTCGCCTCTAGGTGTCCTCGCGCGCCCCGTTGACCCCAACGATGTGGCCGGTCAGTGGGACCCAAGTGGACAGTACCGAAAGGGCCAATGGCAGAATGGCGTGTTCGTTGCAAACAACGGCGATAACCGCAACAACCAGAACGGCCAAGTTGAGCAGAGTGACCAGTGGCGCAACAACAACAACAATCAGAACGGCCAATACAATCAGAACGGTCAACAAAACAACCAAAATGGCTGGACTGATTCGAACGGTCAGTGGCATGCGAACAACCAGAACGTTCAGAACGGCCAGAATGGCCAAAACGGACAGGATGGTTGGACCGATGCGAACGGCCAGTGGCACGCCAATAATGGCGCTGTCCAGTCTCGTGATGGGGAAAATGACAACCAGAAGAACCAGAATGGCTGGACTGATGCCAACGGACAATGGCACGCCGGTAACCAAAATGATCAAAATGGTTGGACTGACGCCAATGGTCAATGGCACGCGAACAACCAGAATGACCAGAACGGCTGGACTGATGCCAACGGACAATGGCACCCCAACAACCAAATTGGTCAGAACAACCAGAATGGCTGGACCGATGCCAATGGTCAGTGGCACGCAAACCAGAAGCGCCAGGAACCCTACCGCCAGGCAACCCCCACCACCAACGAGAATGACCGTCTGAACGAGGCTGCCCACGATAACAACAACCCTCAGGTTACTCCCAGCTCCCAGAACAGCAAGTACCAGAGCTATGGTAACTACAAGAACTATGGTTCTTACCAGAACTACCCCACCAACGGACAGAACCAGGCCCAGAACAAGGATACCAAGGCTGTCACTGGTCAGCAGGAGTAAATTTGAGACTTCCTGGCACATCACCCTGGGCTTGAGGAAAGTCAAAATGAATTGGCAATTTGGTTTGGAGGAAAGACATGGTTTGCATTAGGACACGAACTGTATACGCTCATTAATGACTTTTTGGCCGATGAATTGGGTAACGACTTTCAAGATTACTGGAAATGATCGATGAGGAAAGGAGGAAATTGGGTATAAAGTTATAGCAGAATCAATATTGACTTTTGAAAATTTCGCTTTCTTCTCATGCATACAATAAATTATATCTGATGTCGACCAAGCATTTGAATGATTCATTCACATTAAAACGGTTCTGCAGGCTTGTTGGATATCTCTCGTGTTTATATCATGATTATAGGGCTTAAATAAAGGTTCTGGAAGTCGGCTCATCTGAAAATATCCACTGGTTGTAAACGCAAGGATCAAGCTGAGAGGTACAATTTTACTCAAAGAGCCTATGCTTTGGGACCCTTCGATTTGTGCTTCAGTCGAGGGACATTAGTAATTATGACTCGGACCTTTGGGGAGATTGAAGAGGCATTCAAGACTAGGTCGCCTGGAAGAAGGATTAAATTCGGCCGGAATGTGTAGCTCTATGTACCGCACATAGTCAATAGGCTACCCAGCTAGACCACTTTGTGAGATGAATAGGGGGTTGTCAGATTGGTTGGCAGTCATCCAGGAATTCCCGAAGAATAGATACTATTTCGGTAATGTTTAGATTAATTGAGCTTGTCGAGGGGTTTTATCAGCAAAATAAACATCCACTTCGTAAATAGTTGTACTCCGTATTGTATCTCGTCTTTACCGTTTGCACATGTCACATGCCATCGCTCTTTCTTTCTTCGTGTTTGTTTGTTTATTTGTTTTGTTTGCATGGTTTGCATGGTTTACACATGGTTTGCGTCTCTTTGAGCTGTCCTTCCACTTCCATCTTAATCCTGTGTACTTCGGCAGGTGAGAAATAACACAGTGCAAACAATATATTTCAGAAAGGTGGATCCAACAACCTGTGCAATTTGGCGCTGTTGCATCTGACCAACATGTTGTGCTGAGACACACCATAGCCACAACTCCATATGCAGAGTCAGCGACTAGTGCTCGCGTTCTTTATCGTGGAAGTGTGCAGAATACGATCTTCTGTATTGGTCATCGTGGATACGAATGGGGCCGAAAGCACTTTTTAAAACAAAGGTGAATGGTCAAGTTACAGTGGCCATCATCCGTAATTGTTTGAAAGGATTGGAATCCTTGAGATTGACAGCGAATTAACGGCATCCGAGGTCCAGGAGGCCGGCGCTAACAACTATCTCCACGGCACGAGGTTGTAGATAAAGGGAATCCTCGGGAGCACTAGTTCTAGCGGAGAGAAAGGGAGCAACTAAACGAAGCTTGAATTCTCTTAAGAAAGCGGAATGAGAAAGGAGGAAAGAAAGCGAGACGGGGTGTTACATCTCCGCGACCACATAAACCCTCATATCTCGCTCCATTACCAACACGGGCCTTGGAGCTTGTTGGATCTAAGAATCAAGCGGCTCTTGGCGAAAAGCCTTTTCGGATAATTGTGTATGCTTGGCGCGAGGCTTTTCCCTTTTTGTATTAATCCCCTATGGTTGGGGGTCAATTCTCAAGGAGAATCGGTCTGCAGATCGTGAGATCTGGGATCCTCAGCTCTCCAGGCCTGCTTATTTCTGCCATAAAACAAGCGGGTATTTAAGGGCTGTATTCGGTATTGCAGATTAAAAATCGCCAACAATCACTATTCACGTTCCTTAAGACTCTGGATCTTCCCCTGGTGCTAAGACTATTAGTGTCCGGGCTTTTCTTTCCCCTCACCAACTCCCTCTACGCGTGGGAAGTTGCTCAATCATTGACCCACCTTGATCGCCCTGATCGCCTTTGTTCAAAAAGACTATGGCATTTGCACCTTCCCGTCGAGGCCCCGTCTCCTCGGGTCCCTTTGTCTGCACTGATACCGACTGCCGTAAATCCTTTCTACGCAAAGAGCATCTTAATCGCCATCTTGTCGTACATACCAAATTACGCCGCCATAAATGCTTCATCTGTGGGCGAAGCTTTGCGAGGAGGTAAGAGCCGCCTACACTGGTCGATTGCCATCTTGACTGTAGAGGACGATGAGCTGATTGGATCCAACAGTGATATTTTGAACCGACATGTGCTCCAGCATAATGTACCTCCAGGAGGTGCAAAAAGGACACCGTTAGCATGTCAAACATGTCGCCGGCGTAAAACAAAATGTGATTCCAACTACCCCTGTTCCATATGTGCCGAGAGTGGACAACTATGCGTGCGTGAATCATCTAGTGAGCAGAAGGTCGTCCCCACAAGTCGACCGGTCCTCACGGGTTCCCTTGGGGAGGAAAATAGATCAATCGAACATGCAGAGGGCGTAGACTACGAGGGGCCTGGAACCCCAACAATGCCAAGTCCAGATGATACCTCCCCCATGCGACTGTATTGGAATATGCCGATGGACCGAAGTGCGAGCAACCACGCTTTCAATACCCGGCCTACCTTGATAAATACGGGCACAGATCAAGATTCTGTACTACCACTAACAGATCCATTGATGAGAATGATGTCCGGGATCAATACATCCACATCCACCCCAAACCGAACCCCTCCTATGTACTTCAGTGGGCCATCTGACATTATGAGTTTTTCATTTGATGCAACAGTGCGGCAGCCTCTGGAAGCGAGGGATAACTTCGTTATAGACGAACCATGTGAAATACATATGAGCCATGTACCAACCTTTACCTCCAGCCGCGGTTTTTCAAGTGAGTGGGACCTACAAACTACTACATTTGAGAACGACTCTGATCTAGCTTCGCAAATACAGATACTTCAATGCTTAGGATGACCGACTATGAGACATTCACCCCAACATCATCTAACGAGTCGCTGCAGCTGGACGAGGCCATTGCGAGCCAAGCACAGTTCGTCACTGCACAGGTCAAATCCATTGATTTTGAACATTTCCACCAAGCCTGGCCCCTTCTACATGTTCCTACCTTTGCACCCGAAAAGCAGACAGATCTGTTGACAAGTGCGGTGGTCAACCTATCAATGTGGATACAAAGCACTAGTTGTCACCATCTGGTTCCATGTGAGATCAATCGGGAACTAGCCATGGCACTAGTGCTTAAAATAGTGAGTATCGCTTATATGGTGGAACTTTGGATTACGAAAATATTAAAAATGGAATAGACGGAAGAAACCTTGACAGAAAAGCAATCGGCCGATATAACTTTACCAACTTTACAAGCACTGGTCGTCACCTTGACATATGCGATTCTTGGAGATGTAAGATTTATTCCTCAATGGCCAAAAAGTAATGGAATAGGTCAACTAACAGGTGCAGGCATCTGCATCTACTTTGAATTGGGCAGCACAGTGGACCGACATCGCCATCATCACTTTCCGACGACTCGGTGTCTTGGATGATCGGTGGAACCCAGAACAACACCTACAAGCTGCCGATGAGCGATGGGTCCAGACTGAACAGATGAAACGGTATCCTTTCCCCGTTCCATTTATAACCACCGATTTTCTAACGCCTTATTAGACTAGTATACGGGGTTCTACGCATTGATACCTATTTGTGCATTATCCTTGACCGACCCCCTACCATGCGGTACCAGGAGATAGGACTACCACTGCCTGTATCAGACGGTCTATGGCGAGCAGAGACTAGAGCGGATAGAACAAACCTCGTTTGGTATGAGCCGGCAGGCCGAACCAAAAGTACGTTTTCTACAATGGTCCACGACGGACTAGAGTCGGGGGGTTCATGACTGGGTATCTCAGAATGCCTCACCTGACCCTTGAGGATAATCACTTCAGTCTCTGTGCATTCTTGTCTGAGATATGGTGTGTTTCGAAAGAGGCCCACGAAGAACATCATCGAAACTACCGCTCGCCCGAATTGAACCGCACAGCAGACCGAGTCAAGCTTTGGAAAGGCTATCTCCAGGACTGGCGGGTCCACATTGAGAAGACCAAGAAGCTGGAAGACGCATTCTTCAGTGTATGCATAAGCGATTGCAGCCATTTTCTCGGTCTCAATCTAACCCTGTACCACCTTCTTTGTCTCAAGCTGTATTCCAATATGAGGCTGCTCGAGCATAGCAAGTGCTGTTTGAGTTGCCCGGAAGCCAACATCGAAAGGGTCATCAGTATTTGGGTCCGATCTGCAGACGGTCGTCAGGCAGTCTACCACGCCGCTCAATTGAAGCGTATCTACGAGCGCGAGAGGAATATGTACGGACTCAACAACCAACGCCTGTGCAATGCGCTAGGACCAGCGGGGCTGTTGAACAGCGCTATTGTTCTATGCACCTACAGCGCCAAAGCGTCGGGGGTTAACACGCCGGAGAGTCATACCGTTATGACAACGCCGGCTGATGCAATCGAGCTGGGGCAATCGAATTTGGTGGGCACGCCTGAGTTCGAGAACTGGATCTCCCACGGAGGTCCCGCGACTGTGGACGGGATCTCCTTATATTCTTTCTCGGTTCCCCGTTTCTCGTCGTGGTACCGCGATCAGTTAGAAACTTGTCCTGTCTACTCGTCGCGGTTGATTACCTTCCTTCTCACATTGAAGTTCTGATGATCCATACAAACGTATATGATTCGCCACATTATCCACGGATTGATTATAGAAAAATAGATCCTTTAGTTAGCTTTACTTCTTTCTCCCTCACCATCGGCCTAAATCAGTTATAATGTGCACCGGGGGTCGATTGTTCCCCGCTGTGGGGCAGATGCTAGCGACGGCAAGCTCTCAGGGGCATGTGGAGCAAAACAAAAAAGAAATGGACGGGCAGCGATTCGAACGCTGGACTTTTCGCATGCAAAGCGAACACTCTACCAACTGAGTTACGCGCCCAATGGAAGATGTAATAGGCTTTCCCATTATAGCATATATACTTATGAGGTCATAACCCGAACGGGACAAATTTCATACTTAGGTGAACTTCGGTTGGCCAATATCGAGAGACAGCCCTGGAGTATATCCATGGATACTATACCGACCCTTCCAAGGAACCTTGGAACCCGCTAGTGCTTACGAAATTCCGAGTGAATGCGACCGAATTTTTGTAGCAATACCTACATCTTCTTCCCCTGGCCTTGGGTGCCTTCATCAAATCTTACAAATGGCGATAACTCATCCATTATTACCACATACTTGGTGAGTTAAACTATATCTATCTTTATTAGGGAGCTAGTGATAGATTCAAATATACTTGCCGGTTTCACATTTAGACACTACTAATTAGTCACCTATCCTACCATACCTAGGTATAACTCAACGCTCGGAGGAATCGTTGTCGTTGCGTAACATATCAATGCTCATATTTAAGAAGCTAGAATGAAATGACAATATTTCGGCGTTGAGGTATCTGTGGGCACGGAGATACAGATGGAGCTGATTGGGTTAATTCAACCCCAACTTATCTTTCGTTGATTTGTCTGACTTCCTATGGCATTGGCATAGCAACCCTAAAATAATAGATTAATTGCCATATGCGGTGGCCGCCTATCAACGTTATTGGATAAGTGACGCGTGGACTCCGAGGCTTTTCCGAATAATATGAGCCCCAATCAATGCTACTAGATAAGTGAGTTTTCTGGTTGTTGTCGAAAATATATATCTGTAAGCAAAGTGAATATATTGCTCTTTTTGTTAGAAACCCAAGTCCCTTCTACGGGCTCATTTTGGTCTGTCACCTGCAGAGTCTTTGACACTAGCTTGAATCCTTCTTCAGGCAGATAAGCTTTCCTTACTGACCAAGAGCTAGAAAGTGGAGAGAAAGTGGGTAAATGGGGCGTTATCACGAGATTTTAATTAGCGTGGTTCCTGCATCCAAATGTCAACAAGCACTTATCAGTGACTTAGCTCCTTCAGGTACGGAGTACTGTGGATATACCGTAATGAGCAGAGATAAGTCCTATTATTATGGCCGGCTCCGTCCGCTACTATCTGTATCTAGAGCCTAGTGTATAAGAAGGACGATCTACATAGGGCCGACGCAGAATCCTATACATACCACTCAAGGGCGGAAACTCATTTTTCCCGACACTTAACCCACCATTATGGGCGCTAAGTATCTTGCCATCTTGGCATTCGCTGCCGGCATCTTACGGTCGGTCGTAGCAGCCCCATCTCTGAGTTTGGAGAAAGATGCTCGGCATGGGGTTATTGCTCCAAAGGTGGTGATCGTCAGCATGGTATGAGCACTTGAGAATAATGAGGGAGAAATCACATATTTATTTCGCTAACAATCGCAGTTTTCGTTAGAGGAGGCTATTTGGCCGGAAAAATTGGGCCTGTATGCACGAAATATCACCACCCCAGGCCTTTCACCTGAATATCCCGTCGTGCACTGTGACACTAAAGGGGAGATTTGTCAATTGACGACTGGGGAAGGCGGTTCGTCCTTTCCAAATACTAGGGCTGTTTTGTCGTGTAGCTAATAAGATTTCCAGAGATCAACGCTGCCTCAACTATCATGGCATTTGCACTATCGAGACATTTCGACCTCTCATACACCTATTTCCTGATCGCTGGTATTGCTGGAGTAAACCCGTTCTATGCTACAACCGGCTCTGTCACCTTTGCTCGTTACGCCGTTCAAGTGGCCCTGCAGTATGAGATTGATATCAGAGAACTGCCTTCCAACTATTCCACAGGATACATCCCACAGCATTCAACGGTGCCAGAGACTTATCCTGGGACAGTATATGGCACAGAGGTTTTCGAGCTCAACGCTGCACTTCGAGACCGGGCTGTTGCTCTGGCAAAGAAAGCAACCCTGAATGACACGGCTAAAGCGGCAGCCTACCGCGCAAAGTACGATTACAGTCCAGCAAACCAACCACCCGCAGTCGTGGCCTGCGACACTGCCACATCGGATGTTTACTATTCTGGCAACTTGCTTTCCGAGAGCTTTGGAAACTACACGGCTGTACTCACCAATGGGACAGGCGTGTATTGCAGCAGCCAGCAAGAAGACAATGCCACGCTCGAGTCACTGCTGCGGGCCGACTCTGCTGGTTTGGTAGACTTTTCGAGAATTATCATCATGCGTTCTGGTTCAGACTTTGATAGACCAGCCCCAGGGGAGACCGCGGCTTACCACCTGCTGGAAGCCAGCCAGAGTGGCACCACACCAGCGCTTGAAAATCTTTATCTTGCTGGTGTGCAGATCATCAATGACGTGAAGGAAAATTGGAGGGACTACAAACATGGCATCAAGTCGGATAATTATGTGGGAGATATTCTAAATACCTTAAACTCGACGACGGTTATGGACTTTGGGTAGGTGCTTATCCTTGGCTCGATTGCTAGATATACTAACGAAATAGACCGGAATCAAGCGATTAGCCGCCGAAGTGAATTGCTGGATGGGCGACTTTGAAGATGATTTGTTTGATATCTAGGCGATTAAAAGAGATATAGTACTAAATAGAGTCCAGCTTATATACCTCAAGGAAAGAGTCAGGTTACATCCTTCGTTGAAAATTACGCTCGCTTGCTCGCTTCATAGCGAAGTACTCTTGGGATTTGAACAGCAATTTCCTAAAATTGCAGTAGGGCAGGGACAATATGCCTGATGAATTCTCTTCGTTACGTTCGCAACTAGTGTTAAAAAGGGGAAGAGTCTTCGACAGTTACCTTTAAGAAGTATGACGATGATGTGATTCTGAACCGACGACTTAGTTTAGAACCGAGGTTAGGTTAATGAAAATACACCCGGCGATACGTTCTCATCATTGAAAAGCATGCCCCAGTCCATATCCGTCAAAAGTTCATCCGCCCAACCGAACAAATGAGACCCTCCGTCAATCACCGAGGGCGTACGTTCAGTACCCTCAGCACCCTGAGAAATGGCTTGGAATAAGACAGTCACGATATCAGGGGCGCGGTCAGAAGCCCGCATCCATGGTCTCATTTCCGCGAAAATCTCAAGCGCTTTGTTTAAGCTCGAATGCCAGGATATGACGCTTTCAGAACCAAGTGCTCCGGGGTTGGAGGATGCAGCCATGGCGATGGAAAGGAGTGGAACCATGCAAGCTTGGAACAGATACCAGGCAGAATTCCAGACTTGCGTTCGATTAGGAACCCAGTGAAGCGCAATTGCATCGATAGCCTCCGCGGCGATGGCACGGCATAGGTCGGCCATCTGCTCTTCTGCTTGCCCGGCGCCGTGCCTCTCGGGATCTCCATACGCCTTGTATAAAAGAAAGCACCGAGATAGCATTAAGCGTACGTTGTGGTACCTATTTCGTAGAAACTCGCGCGCTACGGTGATACGAGGCGGGGAATTCATGGTCTCTTTGAGGATAGGAGATAGTGTCCTATACCACTCCTGAAGTTCGTGATCAAGGCTTTGAGCTTCGGATATGTTGATCCTGGTTGATTGTGCGAAACGATGCTGGAGACGGTTGCTGATGTGGCAGAACTGGGTGCTAGCTCTCAAAGAGGCTGCAAAGTGATCATCAGGATAAAGAGCAGTGGGTAATAATGTATTCATGGTGCTACTATCCCAGCGTCCACACGTCGGGCGACCCAGGGTCATACTGGCCCAAGTGTCAAGGCAGTACAGACTCCACCAAGTGCGCCGTCTACTTTCAACCCGGACAGCGTGGCGTTGGCTAATATCCGGATCCTGGTGATCGATACGAGTTGGAGACTCTCGGTGTAATCCCAATGCTATGGCTAAGCGTTGGGCAGCACCGAGGATCGCATATGCCATATTGGGGGAGTTTCGATAATGGAGATAGTACCCGCCCAGCAGACACAGAGCCTGCAAAGTCTCCAGGTTACCAGATCCAAGTGAGTCCAGGTCAAGGTAGGACCGAGCCCGATCGTAATAGTATATGTGAGCAGTATCACTCCCTGACGCAATAGACCCTATTGTGAGCACCATGTTGTAGAGACCCAACCACGCGGGAGTTTGTCGATCGCCAGTAGCGAAGGTTGCCCTGAAGGATTCCTCATGCAAGAAAGGGGTAATGGCATGAATATTCTCGAAGTAAAATCCAATATAGCGTTGTTCTCGCAGGGAATCAGATGGCATGGGAAGACCGAGATGCGGATTCAAAGCAGACGGCCGATTAACTTCTTGTTGGACCTCGGGCCAAGTCTTGGATTGTTCCACAATCCGGTCCTTCGCGGCAGGGCAAAGCCGAAACAATGCCCGGAGAACAGCACTTACAGAGCATATGCCCAGATATGAGCGGCGATGCCGATCGCTCGCCAAACTGATTGCATTTATATCATCGCTAGCCGCCATCGTGGCAGGGTTTTGCGCCGACTCGTCCCAGCACCTTTCCTCTCCCGATTCCCCCTATCGGAATCCTCTGGTGAGCCATGAGAATCTTCAAGGTGGCTGGAAATAATGGGTAATATGGCGACAGGGGGCGCGTCATTATAGAGCTCTGAGGGTCCGTCTTCCGTTGAGTCGTGGGACAGGAGGAGGATGAGCTCCGATCGGTCCTTTTTGACTAGTTCCTCTAGAGAACAATTAGGAAAGAGTAGTCTGAGAACTCCAGCCTGGCGATGCAGGGTTTCTGTGGCTTTTTCAAAGGCGCTGTACGAAGCGA